AATAGATCTCTATGAGTTTGAGGCCACCCTGGTCTACATAACGAGTTCCAGACCAGACACATAAACAGGCCATGTCTCAAACAAACAAACAAACAACTTTGATCTGTTAGGATTTCAGGTTTTGTCTTTTGTGACTACAATCAGCACCACTAGAATAAATCTCACAGAAGGTACACACCCATGAAGAGAAGAATACAATTTTGTAATAAAATGTAAGCTGCCATCTGGGGTGTGGCTTGGTTGATAACATGAACAAAGACCTAGCACTGAACAAACCAAGCATGGTGCTGTGTGCCTGTAACTTCAGGAGGGTGAAGCAGAAAAATGGCAGAAGTTAGAGGTCAGCTTGGGGCAGAGATAAGACGCTTCCTTGAAAGAAAATAATTAACTGAGCCATGGAAAGTGGCACAGTCACAGCAACAACCCAGCACTACAGAAGTTAGATTCTCATAAGCACAAGGCCAGGCTACTCAACACAACAAACTCCAGGCCAGCCAGGACTGATATATACCAAGACTTTATCAGAAAAAGAAAGAGGAGGAAAGAGGGAGAAGGGAGAGAGGGAAAGGAAAAGAAAAGACAGGGAAGGGTCTGGAGATACAACTTAGTGGTAAAGTGTGTGTCTAGTGTGTGAACCAAACAATCATGTGTATAAAATCTCACTTGACATTCAAAAATTCAAAATTCAAAAATTCAAAATTGACATCTCAAACTTACCATACATCCATTTATAATGTATTTTTATTTATACAAATGATTCATTTATAAATAATTTATATTGATTTTATAGTGAAATTTATAATCACCTTTAGGATAAAATTAAACACCATATTATATGCATGCTTTTTCTACCTACCAATGAGTCAAAGATTTATATCTGTGAGAAAATACAGAATTGTTCAAAAAGGCTAATTAAACAGGGTATTTTCAATTCTACTTATGTCACTTTTTTCCGATCACCATTCCATTAACTCCCTCCTTCCTCTTTTGTGACTTTGACCTACTAAACCTACCCTATATAATCCTTCTTTCCCTTTCTATTAATACGGATCCTCTTCCTTTACTCTCCATATAAGTTCATCTACATTTCCCCACATAACCACACTGTCTCTTCAGTACAGCATACATCTTTCCAGTAGCCTGTTTTATTTTCTTTTTTAAATCATAAATAAACCTATTCATTTTCAGTTTTGATATCTTGCCAAGTTGGATACATCAGAGCTGATTAACTTAATTCTGTTTTTATTTTCAATTATAGATCCATATTTTGTTCTTAATTCAGAGAAAAAAACTACCTTTATAATAAGAAAATAAACAATGAGACTATTTGAAAAATAATCATATAGCAAGAATGTAAACATTCTATTTTTTTCTTATTTTAAAACAACAATATTTGGTTGTATTCTGAAAACATGTAAATTCTAGGCAAACTAGCAACTTTCCAATTCAAGAACTGAAGTGTTGGGGGCTAGGAAGATGGCTCGGGGGTAAGTACTTGCTGTACAAGCATAAGAACCTAAATCCAAATCCCTAGCACCCATATAAATCCAAGCACAGAGGTTTACATCTGTAACAACAGCACAGGGAGGTGGAGAGAGGTGGATTACAGGGACTTGCTGGCCAACAAACCTACCTAAAAAGGAAGCTCCAGATTCAAGGAGAGATTGAACAAAGTAAAGGGAGAGCAATACAGAAAGATAGCCAATGTTGAATCTCTTAACTGCCTACACACACATACACACAAAATAGTTTTGACACTTGAAATGTTTTAAAAACCTAATCAAGAAGAATATTATTAAGCTTTTCTTTTTGGGGAAGAATCTTGAACTCATTGGCACAGGAGACAACTTCCTGAACAGAACACCAACAGCACAGGCTCTAGGATCAACAATCAATAAATGGGACCTCATAAAACTGAAAAGCTTCTGTAAAGCAAAGGACACTGTTTTCAGAACAAAATGAAAGCCTACAGACTGGGAAAGGATCTTCACCAACCCTAAATCTGACAGAGGGCTAATATCCAGAATATATAAAAACTAAAGAAGTTAAAAAGCAAAAAATCAAGTAATCCAATTAAAAAATGGTGTACAGAGCTAATCAGAGAATTCTCAATAGAGGAATATCAGAGAAACACTTAAATGAAATGCTCAACATCCTTAGCCATCAGGGAAATGCAAATCAAAACGACCCTGAGATTTCACCTTACACACATCAGAATGGCTAAGATCAAAAACTCAAGTGACAACACATGCTGGAGAGGATGTGGAGAAAGAGGAACCCTACTCCATTGCTGCTGGGAATGTAAACTTGTACAACCACTTTGGAAATCAATCTGGCACTTTCTCAGACAATTAGCAACAATGCTTTCTCAAGATCCAGCTATACCACTCCTAGGCATACATCCAAGATGCCCAAGTATACTACAAGGACATTTGCTCAACCAGGTTTGTAGCAGCTTTATTTGTAATAGCCAGAAGCTTGCAACAACACAGATGTCCTCAGTTGGGGAATAGATACAGAAATTGTGGTACATTTACACAGTGGAATACTACTCAACAATTAAAAACAAGGAATCATAAAATTTGCAAGCAAATGGTGGTAACTAGTAAAGATCATCCTGAGTGAGGTCACCCAGAAGCAGAAAGACACACATGGTATATACTCACTTATAAGTGGATATTAGACATATAATATAGGATAAACATACTAAAATTTGTACACCTAAAGAAGTTAAACAAGAAGGAGGACCCTGGGTAAAATGATCAATCCTCATTAAGAAAGGCAAATGGGATGGACATCAGAAGAGAAAGAAAATAGGGAACAGGACAGGAACCTACCACAGAGGGCCTCTGAAAGACTACCCTGCTAGGTATTAAAGCAGATGCTGAGACTCATAGCCAAACTTTGGGCAAAGTACAGGGAATCTTATGAAAGAAGGAAGAGATAGAAAGATCTGGAGGGGACTGGAGCTCCACAAGGAGAGCAGGAAAATATATATATATGGGCCCAGGGGTCTTTTCTGAAACTGATACTCCAACCAAGGACCATTCATGGAGATAACCTAGAACCCCTGCACAGATGTAACCCATGGCAGCTCAGTGTACAAGTGGGTTCCCTAAAAATGGGAACAGGAACTGTCTCTGACATGAACTCAGTGGCTAGCTCTTTGATCAGCTCCCCCTGATGGGAGAGCAGCCTTGCCAAGCTACAGAAAAAGACAATGCAGCCAATCCTGATGAGAACTGATAGACTAGGATCAGAGAAAAAGTGAGGAGGACCTCAAATATCAGTGGACTTGGGGAGGGGCATGGGAGGAGATGAAGGAGAAAGGGTGGGATTGGGAGGGGATGAGAGAGGGAGCTACAGGGGGGATACAAAGTGAATAAACTGTAATTAATAAAACAATAAATTTTTAAGTCGATCAGTACAACTTAATACACTAATTAAAACTGAAATGAACAAGTTTTGAAGCAATTACACACTAACCTACATTCTATTTACACTTGAATGAAAAGGAATATAGCAATGTACTGGTTAGTTTTTGTCAATGTAAGACAAACTCGAGTCACTTGGGAAGAAGGAGCCTCTGTTGAGGAAATGCCTCCGACAGAGACAAGGCAGTGACAGAGACAGAGAGATTAGAAGACAACTTGGAGGAGTGAGTCTTCTTCTGTCACGTATGTCCAGGAAAAGAACTCATGACATCAAGTTTGGTGACAAGTCTTTATCTGAGGAGCCATCTCAATAACCCTGGTTTTGCATTTTAGCTATAAAAACTTTTTAAATCTTCTGAATCAGCATTTTTCAATCTGTAGGTCTTGACCCCTTTGGGGCTGTATATCATATATCCTGCATATCTATCAGGTATTTATATTATGATTCATAACATAGCAAAATTATAATTACGAAGCAGCAATGTAAATAATTTTATGGTTGGGGATCACTACAACATGAGGAATTGTATTAAAGGGTCAACGCACTAGGAAGGTTGAGAACCACTGATCTAAATACTAAAAATGCCAGACCCTTACATGACTTGCTCCTACCACACGGGTTGGCCTGATTTTGTGTATGAACACATTCATATGCTTTCATGTACATACACATTCATGTGCTGGTATTGAATCCAGAGACTTATACATGCTAGACAAGCACCATCCAGCTACATCCCCAGACCTCAATTTCTAGACAATGTCTTGATGCAGAAAATTTCATCTTTTTGAATAAAGTCCATCTCATTTTTTTCTTCTATTGCTTATGCTTTTACTAATATTGAATTTAATAATCTAGTGCTAAAAGCAGAACAAAGATTTCCCCTTTTTTTCTGAGATATTTATAGTTTTAGCTAAGGTTAGGGTTTGTCCCGTTCTGGGTTAATTTCTCTATACAGCATGAAGTAGGAACTCAGTATCACTCTCTTGCATGTGAAAATGCAGTTACCCAACACCACTGTGTTCTGTGTTTGCTTCTTTTTTGTTTGTATGTTTCAGACATTCTATCATGTAACTCAGACCTGCCTCAGATTTACGATGATCCTCCTGACTCAGTCTTCTGAGTCTTAGGTTACAGGTATGAATCACCATGACTATTACATAATAACTGTGGTAATTTATTAATTAATAAACAACAGTGAACTAAAATTTCAACTTTATGAGTTTCCCTCCAATTGACGGTGATATATGGTCAATTTTTTTTCTGCAGAGTTTTTTTTTATTGGTAGGGTCTTGTTATAGGTAGGTGTTTATCTACTCATTTATTGTTTGTGTGTGTGTGTGTGTGTGTGTGTGCATGCACAAGAGCAAGTCATGCTCGTGGGGGGACAGGTCAGAGGTCAACCTGCAGGAATTAGTTTTCTCCTTCCACCATGTAGACCCCAGTGTTGTCAGCCTGGGCAGGGAGCGTCTTTACCCATTGAGCCATCCTACGAGCTCAATTCCAATTTAATCAGTTCTCTCTTCAGGAATGTTTGGTGCTGTATATATGAAGTGGTTAATACTTACTTATCAAGGAAATCTTTGTCTACCACAGCAGAGATGTCAAGAAGAGGATTTCCCATTCCAAACAGCACATTTTCACTAAAAAAAAAAAAAGGGGGGGGGGGGCAAAAGTTAGAAAACACAAATATGAAAAGAAATATATCTTCACTTGAGTATAAGCCTGACATCCTAGTTTAAACCTCTGATTTACCAATTACATGTAAGACAACGTTTTAGAGATAATACAAAGTTCTCTAGAAAAAAAAGATTTTTGGGCTAGCAAGATGGCTTAGTGGTTAAGAGCACATGGTGTTCTGGCAGATACTGAAGATGAGCCCTATTACTGAGCTATATCTTGGCCCTAAACACATAATCTTATTTGGTTTAAACACCTCTCTTTCAGCAAGTGACAAAACAGTCAAGTACAGTGAGAATAAGAACTGCACAACTGCATACTCACCTAGAAAAATGAAATCTTCCCCACCCATAAACCTACACATAAATGTTCATGTGCATTATGAAGAGGGGTAGAAAGGCAGGGAAATGGGTTGCCTCTAACTCTGAACTCCAGCTAAAGCCTCCTGCCACCAGAAAAGCAAGAATTACACAGCACAATCACTACCCATTCAAGGTTCTTCTGCCATCCCTGCTGCAAGCCTGAGGCTTCTCATCAAAAGCTGTACTTACAGGGGAAGAAAATTACAACAGTCATTGTGCAAAGCACCCTACCAGATCACAATTCCATCCAAGGCATCTCTAGAGCCACCTCACTTATCACACTTAGCAAAAGGGCTGGGAGGGAAGGTTTCCTGATAAACTTGAGGTATAACCTGAAAGCCATACACAGTATACACACTATGGTGGTTTGAATGGGTATGGCCTCCATAGACTCATGTGTTTGAATTTTTGGCCATAGGGAGTGGCACCATTGGGGAGATGGCCTTGTTGGAGTAGGTGCAGCCTTGTTGGAGGTCATGTGTCATTGTGGGGGTGGGGGTTCTCATATGCTCAAACTCCACCCAGTGTGGAGTCAGAGCCTCCTCCTGGATGCCTTCAGAAGACAGTCCTCTTTCGCTGCCTTTGGATCAAGATGTAGACTCTCAGTTCCTTCCCCAGCACCATGTCTGCCTGCACACTGCCATGCTTCCCACCAGGATGAAAATGGACTGAACTGTAAACCAGTCCCAATTAAATGTTTTCCTTTATAAGAGTTGCCTTGGTCTGGTGTTTCTTCACAGCAATAAAACCCTAACTAACACATATAGCTAATGTTAAGACAATTAATTTTGCTTCTCTGTTGAGAAGCCAAACCTACACTTGGGTATCTCACTCTTCCCTACTATCCTTTAGGAAGCATATATCCACAATTGGGTAAGTCTTGCTTTCTTCTGGGGGCCTCTCTTTCTCTTAGTCCTCATTTTTGAGCTTATATTAAAATATCTTTATTAAGCACCAGCTAGCCAGTTCTTTTCCATGATGAAGCTATAAATCTCAGTTTGGCCTGAGTTGAAGACCCTAAAAGATTATATGAACTCCTCAGGAGCTTTCTGTCTCCTTACCAATGACAATAGCAGACTTATTTGTAATAGCAAACAAACAAACAACCAAAAAAAAGCAAAAACAAAAAACAAACAAACAAAAAAGATCCCAGGTAACTAACTTAGCAATAAAAAGCCTTATTTACAGGATACTTAATTATTCTACTTAAGACTCTAAAGCAAAAAAAGAAATTACAGTTAAAAAACAGATCAGTAAATGCCAAGATTAAGTTTAGGGGACAGCATGACCAAAAAAAGATAGCAGAGTAATACATCAATACTATACTATACTATAGTACTATAATAACATCAGTTTCCTGGATTTGCAAAACAGCATGGTTATGCAAAACACATCACTGGCAACAACTAAATGACTCATGCCCTGGGTCACTTTTTTTGTTTTCTGCAATTTCTTACAAGCCATAAAATATTTAAAAGGATAGAATTCAATTGCATAGGAGCTAGAGAAATGCCTTAGCAGTTAACACTACTGCATACTCTTCTCGAGGACCTGGGTTCAATCCTAGCCCACATGGCAGCTCACAACCATCAGTAACTCACAAATGTGGTACACAGATCTATATATGCAAGTAAAACACCTATAAATAAATAAAAATTATTAATAAATAAATAAAATTATTATGTATACTGTAACATTTCCAGGAAGATGGATACAGCTGGAAACAATATTATGCAAAGTAAAACAGACTCAGAGAAACAAACACTGCATGTTTTCCCCCCACATAGAGACTGTAGATTTTAATGTTTATATGTGTACGTATTTGGAGTGCCATAAGTCATAAAACTAAAAGAGGAACCACAAAAGGAGGAAAGAACTCTAAAAGGGAACATAGGGGGAAAATGAAAAGAATAGAAGTGTTGAGGCACACACACACACACACAAAGATTCCTGGAGAGGTAAGAGGCCAATAGAAGGAAGGTAAGGGGGTTCAGGTAGAAAGTGGAGGAGAAAATTTGTGGTGGTTTAAACAAGAAATGCCTGCCCCACCCCCCTTGGCTCCAGAATTTGAATTCGTGGTTCCCAGTTGGTGGGCGCTGTTTGAAGATTCCACATACATGGAATCTTTAGGAGGCAGAACCTCTCAGGTAAACTACACCACTGGGAGCAGGCAGCGAGAATTTATAGCCTTACCCTACTCCAGTTCCCTCAAGGCTTCGTACTTGCAACTTCCTGCTCTGATAGCCTGAAGCCATGCCTCCCCCAACATTATGTACTCTCCCTCTGGAGTTGTAAGGTAAAATAAAGTTTGTTGCATACGTTGTTTGTGGCCATGGTGTTTTATATCAGCAACAGAAAAATAACTAATATAATCATCAACATAAACAAGTGTTTAGGGACATGCAATTTTCTAAAAAGCCCATTACTCTGTACTGTGGACACAAAAACCAACTCTCAGCTCAGAACGGTAAGGGATGACGTGAATCCCAAAGATGGGAAGAGAAAGACAACCAACCCAAATCATCATGGCCAAACTAATTAATTACAGCAAGCTTATTTGTGTACATGGGCTACCACCACCTAAGGTGGGATTCGGCACTGCATGGGAGGAAGACAAGGCTTTTATAGCTCAGGGGTGGGGGGGTTTCCAAACAGGATTTGGTAGGCAAAATAGGTAAAGTTACAGAAACAGAACACACACTAGTCTCTCTTGAATAAAGACATGGTTTTAAGGTAGGCATAACAAAGTAGTCATCAGTGGCCATATAACATTTTGAAACCAACATAGGGTTGCAAGATGACTATGAACATCTTTTTGAAGGAAAAACATGATTGACATTCCTGAAACATGCAGCATTGAACCATTTGCAGTTAAGGTTACAGGCGGGACATAGTCCAATCTTTGAGAAACAGAGGTTAATCATAAACAGGAATGACTCTAGTTTATCTTTACTATAAGATAGTTTTTAGGCCTAAAATGGAGGCAGACTAGTTCTTCAATAGTTTATTCTGGAGCCAAATATGAGCGAGCACATCAGAAACATAGATTTAGTCTACACCAAGTTCCATGTTCCAACACAGAAGCAAGTTTCCTGGAGTTTTTATAGTAATAGAACAAAGGCAACAAATCAAGCCACTTTTTTTTGGGGGGGGGGCAAGACAGGGTAGGTTTTCTCTGTGTAGCCCTGGTTGTCCTAGAACTTACTCTATAAACCAGGCAGGCCTCAAACACAGATATCCACCCACCCGCCTCTGCCTCTACAGGTGTATACCACCATGCCTGGCAACATGAATTATTTTTAAAAATGAGTAAGAGCCAGGAATGGTTACCCACACCTATAATCACAGCACTACCACTTGAGAGGTAGAGGCAAGAAGATAAGGAGTGATAATTCATCTTTAGCTGCAGAGAGTTTGAGGCCAATACTGTAACAGGCATAAATAAATAAAGATCTTCTAAAGAGACACTTGTGTTTCTCACTCTGACTATCAGACTATTGAGCAAAGAACCCCAAAGAAATAGGAATTTCTCCAGGAATCTCATGCTGGGAGAAGGAAAGGAGCTAGACAAACAAAGGATTTTTCTCCAAGAAAGATTTCACTCAGTTCCAACAGCTTTTTAAACCAGTTTACAGGATGAGAGGGAATAGCAGACACCTTGATTGTAACAACATAGATGTGCAAATCTTAATCTCACTCCCAGACGCTGAAGACAATTTGGAGAGCTGGCTGGATCTCTTTGTCCCTCTTTCCAAGCAGCCACACTGAATAAGTCTCCTTTCCATGTTTTCCATTTTAAGTTGGCTGTTTCAATTGGCTCTTTGAGAATGGGTGGCCAGACCAGTCAATACCGTTGGAGACTATCTTTGACAACAGAATTCTTCTGGCAGAATGTGGTTTATGCAGCAAAACTGTCTCAGCCAAATGCAGAGGAGGCTATGGAAGCTCATCTAATCCCAGATATGATGATGGGCAAGGGCTATCAGAAAATCCACCCACAGAAGGGCAAAATCAATCATCTAGATGGCCTGAGTACTGCTCCAACACCTGGTGTATGAGGAGGGTAAATTTTGGCTCTGAGAATCTGAAATCTGAACATACATATTTTTAAAGATTTTTATTCTTATTTACAGTGGGGGTGAGAAGTGAGGAGGGGGCACACGTACAAATGTTCAAGTGTCCCCAGAGGCCAGGAAAGGGTGCCAGATCTCCAGAAGCTGGAGTTACAGGCCTAGTGTGGGTCAATAAGGACTCTTAACCCCTGAACCACCATCTCTCCAGCCCTAAACATACATTTATGGTAGAAAGAAATTACCAAAGAAGTGGAAGGCTGACCACACTAGATGGGTAGAAGAGTGATGTGTGTATCTAAAACATTGCACCATTTCTCACAAATAAATGAGGCCTTGCTAGGAATTTCCTTACAGGGTATGTGGCCTGACTGACAAAGCAACTCCATAAATGAACATTTGTCTCATTATCTTTTTGTACAGAATACTGAACTAATAACATGTTCAGTATTCTGTATTCAGTATTGACATGGCAATTGCCACATTTGTTTCTTTGAGACAGGTCGTGCTGTGTAGCCTAGGCTGCTCTGT